CCCCCGCCCGCCGTCTCCCCCCCCCCCCCCCCCCCCCCGGTCACCCTCTCTCCGAAAGGACATAGCAGGAATAGAGGGAGTTCAGTCATGGGTGGCAAAAGTCATTGGAAACCTAAAGATTTTCATATGAAGCGAGATTACTGTTTCTGTTAGGGAAGGAATGAATAATAGGTTACATAAAATGAGAAGTCCTGTGACACCATAGAGACTAACCAAAATATGTAGAATCATGCACTTTCATGGGCAAAACCCACTTAGGACATAGCAGGAATAGAGGGAGTTCAGTCATGGGTGGCAAAAGTCATTGGAAACCTAAAGATTTTCATATGAAGCGAGATTACTGTTTCTGTTAGGGAAGGAATGAATAATAGGTTACATAAAATGAGAAGTCCTGTGACACCATAGAGACTAACCAAAATATGTAGAATCATGCACTTTCATGGGCAAAACCCACTTCATCAGGTGAACTGGAGTGGAAATAACAGAAACCAAGAGATTTTACTACATGCACACATGCAGCAGAAGTATCTGTCAATTATAGGACCCATGTTAATGAAGCTAATTAAGTGGGCTGGATGTGTCTCATACATATACTGTGATGTGGAAATGCAGATGTTAATGGCAGGACACCATCACAGGACCTAACCACATAAGACACGACATCAGGGGCTCATACAGCTGCATCTCCTCTAATGTGATCTATGCCATCAAGTGCCAGCAATGCCCCTCTGCCATGTATATTGGCCAAACTGGACAGTGTCTGCACCAAAGGATAAATGGACACAAATCAGACCTCAGAAATGGTAACACAAACCTATAGGGGAACACTTTAACCTGCTTGGTCACTCACTCCTGGATTTAAAAGTAGCCATCTTCTACAAAGGAATTTCATTAACCAATTACAGAGAGAGTCTGCAGAACTGGAATTTATCTACAGATTTGACACCCTTGCCCTGGGCCTAAACAAAGACATTAACAAGTTTGGCAACAGGGTTTGTTGCAGGGGTGAGTGTATATGATGTGTGGCTGCTGGAAAGGATTTGCTACTGGTTGGGGAGCTGCCTGTAGGCAGGGACTGGTCTGTCTCTCAAGGCCTGTGAGAGTGAGGGATTGTTTTCCAGGATAGGTGGTAGATTATTAATGATGTGCTGGAGAGGTTTAAGCTGGGGGCTGTCGGTGATGACCAGCGGTGTTCTGTTATTTTCCTTGTTGGGCCTGTCTTGAAGTAGTTGACTTTTGGGCATTTGCCTGGCTCTGTCAATCTGTTTCCTATACAATTTACCTTTCTCCTGTTTCAAGAATTAAATTGGCCATTTAAATTGAAAGGTAGCACATCTGAAGCTGAGAAAAGACAAAGTTTTGTATATTTCATGATTCACTTGTGTAACTCATGCTCTCGGGTATCAAAAATGACTAGATGTTTGAATAGAGAATGAGAGCAGCCATAGTTATGTTAGATCAAGAAAAGCAATAGCTGAGGGAAGTCCCCCAAGAAATGGCATATAAGAGGGAGTAGCTTCCCCTCGGGACAGGCTGTTCCCTAGTTGTCCACAAGGGTTTCATTAACCTTCAGTTGTCATATCTGGTCCTGGCCACTATCAGAAACAGGATACTGGGTTGGTCTAGTGCCAAGGCACTCTTTCTGTGAGTCCAACTCAAAGCTGGGGGACTCAGACCAAGAGTGGGCTTGTGTCTCACGCCAAGATTCTGGGAGTTGCTGAGCTAGACTGAGATCTTGGGGACAAAGAGTTGATGTTAGGGTTGAGCACTGTGCAATTCTGCTACCATAGCCTGCTCTTCTGATCAGGTGAGTGGTTGGGAACCGTACTTTATTCTGCCTGGGGAGCAGCCTCCGTGTATCTTAGTGAGTGCATTCACTTGTCTCCCCTTCCCACCTGACTCCGTTCCTCCCCTCCTCCCAGGCAGGTGGCTTCATGGACATGTTCGGAATGATGAACGATATGATTGGGAACGTGGTAAGAGTCCATCACTGTTTGCATTGACATCACCTCTACCATCCTGGGGAATGAGTTGCCACCCAGAATCTCCGGTTTTCCACTCCTCCACAAGGGCTACCGCTGCTCCTGGGACATTGTCCCTCCCAAGCTGTAAAGATGGCATTGCCTATACATTTGGAGCAACGTGGGGCATGAGGAAGCAGCCCTTCCATGCAGAGAAAATGGGGAAGGGGAGCCCCCCTCACTCACGGAGCAGAAGGAACGGGGCTGGGAGTAATGGAACAGAGATGGGTGTGAAAGGGAAGAGGATGGCCCCTTTTTATCAGAAAGAAACCAAGATGGATGCTGGGGAGAGGAGATTATTCCCCACAGGGAGGGGCTCTTAGGAGCTGCTGACTGTGTTTCTTCCTTCCCTTCCCTCACCAGGAGCACATGACAAGTGGTGCCAACTGCCAAACATTTTCCTCCTCAACTGTCATCTCCTATTCCAACTTGGGTGATGGCCCCAAAGTCTATCATGAGACCTCGGAGACGCGCTCTGCACCTGGCGGGGTGAGAAGGAGGCTGCTGCTCCTGCCCCTAGTGATGGGCAGGGCACCACAGGCAGCTGCTTTTGCTGGGGGGTGGATCTGCCTCATTTACTTGTTTGGCACTGATTGCTCAGCACACTTGATTATTTTTATTGCCAAGCACAGTGGTGGGCAATCTGTGCTTGGGGGCCAAAGGAGGCCCATCAGGATTCTGTGCCTGGTCTGTGAGATGTTTTGTTTGTTGCTACCCACAGTTCTGCTAGCTTCTGTTTGCAAGTGACACACACGTAAAGCAAGGACACATGGAGTGAGGGGTGGGCTGATTGCACACAACACTGTCTGTGGGAGCCGTGTGCTCCTTCTGCTGCCAGTCAAAGTGCTGCTACAGTTCAGTGGGTACTGCCCACAAATTCTAGGGACACAAGTGCAGTTAGCTAGACTGCCCTGTCCCAGGAGATGTCTTGGTTTGCAAAATCTTGTGGTCCATTGAGATGGAGGAGGGCCCAATCACTAGCCCAGATTGCCCATCGTTGCCATGGCACCTATGAGCCTTAGTCATGGACCAGGACTTTATTGTGCTCGGTGCTGTTGAGACACGGAACAGGAGAGAACCCCTCCCCCGGAAAGCTTACAATTTAAGTATAACATAAGAGATGGATGCGTATTGGATGAGGGAGGTGTATAAGTAGAATTCAGTATTGGCTAGCATGTTAGGCTTGATCTGTGTGCACCAGCAGTTTAATCCTTGTCAAATTTTTGTGGGCATCATGGCCGAGAAGAAATTTGAAAGTGGATAAGGAGGTAGTTTTTCAGATGTTCACAGGAAGCACCTCCCAAGGGTGAGGGCAGCATGGGAGAAAGCACCAAGGAAAATGTAACAAGTGGGTGATGGAGGATGGCAGCATGGGTCCACTGAAGGTGACATCGGCAGCTTGGTAGTGAATGAGATAAGTAGTGTGAGCACTGACTATGAAGGACGTTCTGACTGAAGACAAGCAGCTTATGTTGGATGCATTTTTGCACAGAGGTGAGCGAAAGCTCTGGGGATATGAGGTGAGATGGGAGTGGTCGGTGGAGTCGTGCCAGGGCTACAGGAAGGGTTTGGTTGCCCTTTGGTTACTCCGTTTGGAAGTGGTGGAGAGATAGTCCACTGTTCTGTTGAAGGGCTGGGGAAAGGGACTAGTAGTTCAGGGTGGAAACGAGGGGTGCCAAGCAGGTTTGGGAGGGTGATGTGAGGGACTGACCTCGCACTACACTCTGTACCCAGATCCGCGAAACGCGACGGACCGTGCGGGACTCAAACAGTGGCCTGGAGCAGATGTCAATCGGGCACCACATCCGAGAGCGAGCCCACATCATGCAGCGCTCACGGAACCATCGTACGGGTGACCAAGAGGAGAGGCAGGAGTACATCAACCTGGATGAGAGTGAGTGCTCAGAGCGCTCCTGGGGCTCCCGGATTCCAGCCTGCCTTCCCGCTGAGCTGGCTGTTCTCTTTCCTTGTGTAGGTGATGCAGCTGCGTTTGACGATGAGTGGAGGCGAGAGACGTCCCGGTACCGGCCACAGCGAGGACTGGGTTATCGGCGTCACGAGAACAGCGGTGGCCGCCGTTCTGAAGGGACACCTCTTGCTATTGAGGGCCCTGAGGATTCCCCATCCAGACAGGCCCGCCGGTACGACTGGTGAATCCGGAGCAGATTTTTTTGGGGGGTGCAGCGTAGTCACCCCCAAATCCACCTACTTTCTCTTGTAAGTCTGACTGTCCTCTCCACTCCCCCCATTGTGTGGCTGCCTCACTCCCTCTGAACCTCACTTTCAGTACTCCCAACATGGGGTGCAGGGCCTCAATGTGAGCCACTTTGGGGGTGTCAGTTGGAGAAGGGGGGCATGCTCCAGAGTCCAGCAGGAAGCTTCCTCTTGGCAGCTCATTTTTGCCAACACCCAAAACAGGGTGGGTGGCTTCAGCCTGAGTCACTTCAGACACTGAATGGGGAGACTTTCCATCCTGGTTCGGGGCTGATAGTGTGGGAGTGTTAAAACTTGGTTTCCCTCCTTTTTGTCTGTCTGTCTTGTGGACACACTTTGGGGAGTTTCTGCCACTTGCACCCTGGATCGTGTGGAGTTGCTGTCTTCCCTCGCCAGGCAAATACAATTGTGGGTTTAATTGTGTGAGGAAATGGGGAAGCAGCATCTGGGGAACCAAGGAGATAGTGTTAAAAAATGTTACTAAACTGAAGTTGGAGACTGTCTGCAGGAAATGTCTATTTACAGATGAAACCAAACTTTCCTGAGGTCAGCTCAAGTCTAGATTCAATAGAGGAGTGCTGGGTTTTCTCTTCCTCCCAACATTCTGAATTGGGTTTACTGGGATTTGATGTAATGCTAAGAATTTATCCAATTCTCTGATCAGTTTCTCTTGCTGAGTTTTAAATTGCAGTGCTTGGTTTTACCTTCTGTACCATCCCTTTATTTATACCTCTGTAACTTGCATTCTCTCTCTCTCTCTCTCTCTCTCCTCCCTCTTTTCACCTCCTATGTGGAGAAGACAGTGAAACTCTGATGACAAAACACTGCTTGGAATCTTCTTAAATTTAATATTAACCCCACCCTCTAAGCATTGAATAAACCCCACCCTCCACCCTGCTCTCCTCACACAGTGCGGGTGTTCCAGGGTGGTTTGGGGACCTCATTGGTGTACAAAGGACACATTTATTATCCTGCCTCAATTTCCTCCTCCAATTCTTCCCCCTCTTCCAGTCACCCTTGCTCAGTTCCCTTTGCCAGTATTTGTGGACAACAAGGGTCATCACCCTGTCCCATCCAGCTCTCCTCGTGCGCCTGGTTGGGCTGGTTCTGGAGTGGTATTTGGTCCCTTCTGAAATTATCATGTAGAAGAATTTCTTGCCCTATTGTTAGTCCTCCCTCACTGGGACAAAAGCCCTGGCTTCCTCTCCTGCTTCCTGGTATGGTGAGATGGAAGGATACGTGTTTGGGAGGGGGAGAGGAACAAGAACTGAACCAGCCTGTATCCCCCTGCCCATGTAATCCCTTGGCGGTCATCTTTCCCCTTTTTAAATTTGATTTGTGGAACTTGTAACTAGGTGTTTACTGAATAAAGGAACAAGAACTGTAAAGAAAATGGAGTTGGGTCATTTCTGCCTTCTCTCTCCTAAGGGAGCTGAATTGCCAGCTGCAGAACTGTTGCCCTAACAACCATTTCCCTTCAACCTAGCACTGCGTATGGGGCTGTCCTGTCCCTCCCTTCACTTCCTTGGTGAATCAATCTGACAGTCCCTGTAGTTTCTCTCTCTCTCTCTCTCTCTCTCTCCTGGGGAAAAATGGTTTACAAGATGGCAATTGTGAAAAAGCAACAGCAAGAAATCTAATTTGCTTTAAATGGTCTTGTTTCACTCTGTGCACACAAGTGAAGGAGATTGGCTGGTTGCTCTTTCAGGTCTTCTGTGCTCCCATGAAAAGACTCTTGGGGTCACTGTACAATGCAGGAGAGTGTTTCAGTTCATCTCTTTCTCTGTGTTTCAGAGGGAAGCTGTTAAAGGCTGTTGCTAGTCTGTTTATCTCCATGCCCTGAACACAAGGGGGATGCAGTGAAATCACAAAGCTGCACATCTGCCAAAGAAATAATACTTCACTTAGCATCATACTTGTTACAGCAGAATCTTAGCCTTGTTATTGCGAAGTATTAGCTCTGGGCATTGGCAGGGACTCAGGACACATTCATTGGAACAGCCACTGGATCAGGCCGTAGTTCACCAGGCTTATGGAGTCCCTGTAGGCAGTTTCTCAATATGGATCAGCTGTAGAAATATCTCAGACCAATGCACAGTTTGGCAAACTCTCTGCCCTGTTCTAGAACAGCTGCAGAAATGGGCAGTTTGCGGGAGAGATGTTTTCTGTGCATCCCCTGTGCATTGGAGATCAGGTACAGGAGCTGGTCCCTGTGCAGTGTGTTCACACTTCCCCATGTTACAGGTCCAATGGATCTTTGTCTCCATAGGGCAGTTGCACTCATAATTCTGCTCTGGCCCAGTAGCTGGTTCTGATAGGGGCCAGGGTCTAGTTCCCTTAAGTTGGGGGTCTTCAGGGTCTCTCCATCTGAGGTGTACCAAGCAGCATGGGATGCATCCAGAAGAGTGAAGGAGGGAGGGGCAGCTGTGGCCATGAGGCTCAGCAGGGGGGCGGAGGCGGCAGGGAGGGACTGGGAGTCTAGAGCGAGTGAGGTCAGTCCTGGAGGCAGCAAGGAAGGAGGTGGGAGGGGCTTGCTTACTGGAGAGCAAGGCTGGGAGGGACTGCCAAGGCAACGGTAACCCTGGCCCCAGTGGTGTGTTCCAGCCTGTGGAGGTTCTGGGACTTCCACCAAAGAACCAGCTGAGCTCAGGAAGGCACTGACAGCACAGAGGCAGTGGTTGTAACCAGTAACAACTCCTGGCCGTCCTCTGAGAAGGCAGCAGTGCTTGATGAGGGAGTCAAGCTTTGAAGCTTCTTAATAATAAGGCTCCCTTGCTGCCCCTTCCTCCTCCGCCCCATGCTCCCATGTAGTTGTTCAAAACTATACCTTCCTCCTGGCCACAGATACAAAATTCAGTCTGAAGGAGAAGGGCAGCTCACTCTCCAGCATTGCACTGGACAGAGTGACTGGCCTAATGCTGGAATAGCACAGGGGGGAGTTGGGCCCTTTCTGTGTCTGTCTGTCTGTCTGGTAGGGATCAAGTTTTATCTGGCTTCAGCCTATGTGCCTGGCCAATTATGGGACATAAACTTTCTACTTGCCCCACCTCCACCCCCACACACAGGGGTTATGTCTACATTGGCCCCTATTCTGTAATAGGGATGCAAATGTAGCACTTTGGAATAGGCAAATCCGCGGGGGATTTAAATATCCCCCACGGCATTTGCATTTTCATGGCTGCCGCTTTTTTCCAGCTTGTAGATAAGCCGGAGAAAAGCGCCAGTCTGGACGCGATCCTCCAGAAAGTAGGAATAAGAGATCCTCTGGAAAAGAGCTTATTTTCCAGAGGATCACGTCCAGACTGGTGCTTTTCTCCGGCTCTCTCGTTGCTGCACTGTCATCTCCAGGATCTCTGCTTTCTCCAGGCATCACAGAGCTCTGGAATTCTGGGGGAAAGGAATTCTGGGCGCCACATTTCAAGAAAGATGTGGAGAAATTGGAAAGGGTACAGAGAAGAGCGACAAGAATGATTAAAGGTTTAGAGAACATGACCTATGAAGCCAGGCTTCATGAACTGGGCTTGTTTAGTTTGGAAAAAAGAAGATTAAGGGGGGACATGATAGCGGTTTTCAAATATCTAAAAGGGTGTCACAAGGAGGAAGGAGAAAATTCGTTCCTCTTGGTTTCTAAGGGCAGGACAAGGAGTAATGGGCTTAAAGTGCAGCAGGGGAGGTTTAGATTGGACATTAGGAAAAAATTCCTAACTGTCAGGGTGGTCAAATATTGGAATAAATTGCCAAGGGAGGTGGTGGAATCTCCCTCTCTGGAGATATTTAAGAACAGGTTAGATAGACATCTGTCAGGGATGGTGTAGACGGAGCTTGGTCCTGCCTTGAGGGCGGGGGGCTGGACTCGATGACCTCTCAAGGTCCCTTCCGGTCCTATTATTCTATGAAAATGGGAAGCTGAGGGAACTGCTAGAAAAATGCCCTATGCTGGAGCCTCAGAAGGTGCCAGAGAGGGAATTACTCACATTTTTGAGTCAGTGACTGAATTGCAGGAAATGCACTTTGAACTTCAGTCTCTTGGTAGTTTTTTGGGGTGCATCTACACTGCAGCGTTTTTCCAGAAAAACAATACTTGTGTCCACACTGCCATTGAGTTCTTTTGACAGAAACTCCAAAGAACAGGGGTTTTTCTGACAGCAGTAATCCTTTCTATGAGGAAGAAGCCTTTTTCCAAAAAAGCTCTTTCAGAAAAAGGCATGTGTGGATGCAGAAGGGGAAGTTCTTTTGAAAGAAGGGGCCTCCAGGAAAAAGCACAGGTGCCCTGATGGTCACTCCATCATACTAATCACAACTTAAATGTGAGATAGCGTCCGCAATGATTGGATGCTATCTTTTGAAAAAGGTCGCTTTTTTGTTGCGCTTTCGTTGTGTAGATGCTCTCTTTTGAAAAAAGTTTTTCTAGAAGATCTCTTCTGGAAAAGCTGCTTCCGAAAGAAGCCTGCAGTCTAGACATAGCCTTTAAGTTCCTCCTCCCCCTTTGCGTGAGCCTCTGACCTCATACCAGTGTAAGATTGTGCTTTATGGGGTGGGAGGGACAGAGACATGACAACTTTTCAGGTCCCTGAATTTTAGTGACTGATTCTTCATCTGTTGTATGGGCTCTGTTGAAGGAGCCTTCTCAGCTGCTCCAGGCTCGGTGGCTTATTTATTATGGACTATGGGGAAATGAATATGAAACCTCATGTAGAGACAGAGGCCTTGTCTCCATGAGAAAGCTGCACCAGTTAAATCAGGTTTTAAAGGAGATTAGGTAACTTGTGCAGATCTCTGGGTGAATGCTCTTAGTTTTGGATGAGTAGCTTTCAGCAGTTTAGCTTAAACTGATTCCTAAATAAATTAAGCTAAAACCCACCAAGTCTGTTTTAAGATGAAATTAAAATATTCAAGTGAGGGTTGGCACTGGTCTAATTCTGTTTTTTTTTAATTCATTCCTCTAGCTAAGTCACTGCTGCTCTGCCATATAGAGACAGTCAGGAAGGGAGATGGCTGGCCTATATCCAACTAGGAACCAAAGGAATGAAATTATTATATTAAATTTACCAATTTAAATTAGAATTGAGATAGGACATCTTTAATCCAAAGGAAGAACATCCATTCAGACTTCCACAGCAATAGCATATGGCATGAATTACAACCAAGGTGCTTATTTATTTTCTACTGCGTGTGTAGACAAGCCACGATAGTCTCAGGCTAGACCCGGCGTGGGCAATCATTTTTGATGAGGGGCCACTACAAGATTGGGTAAGTGGTGAACAGCCACACTTTTCTATGGAGGGGGAGCAGGCTCTGGGACTGAGGTTGGGTGCAGAAGAGAACTCAGGATAGGACATTGGGGTGCAGGATGGAATGTGGGGTCTGGAGGGAGTTAGGATGAAGGAGGAGGTTGTAACCTAGAGCAAAGGATTGGGGGGTAGGAGAGGATTCTGATCTGAGGCAGGGATGCAGAGGGTTTGGGTTCTGACCTGGGCCAGAGGATTGGGGTGCAGCAGGGGTTTCGGAGTCAGAGTGGGCAGGAGTGGATTCTGGCCTCGGAGAGAGGTGTAGGAGAGGGTTCAGAGTCCGGGAGGGAGTTGTGACCTGGAGTACAGAAGGTTTGGATGGTGATCTGGGGGAAGAGGTGGTGGTGACTGGGGCAGAGAGTTGGGGTGCAAGGAGGGGTTGGGGTGCCAGGTGCAGGCTGTAGCTGGGAGGCACTTATCTAGACGGCTCCCCTTCAGCAGCCCAGTGCTGCCGCAGCCCCAAACAGCTCAAAGCGGCTGGCTGCTGGGCCTATGC